CTGAGCTCTGACTTCTCGGCTCTCTCTTTTACATTGTTTCTGTGTTTCTTATTTAATAAGACCGTTGGTTACATCTACACAAGTACATTGGTTATTGTGTATTATTCCCCAGCAAAGAATTAATGCAAAAATCCAGACAATGTATTAAAATTGGTGTTTTAAAAAATCAAATCTGTTATATCTGTGGTCTTACCTAGCACCGGTCCCTGCAAGCCACAATACCAACCTGCCAAAAAAAGATGTGCCTGCGCGCATGCTTTCAGGGCTGCCCTAGCTGCTGGTCCAGCTCCTCTATGGTCTCGCCCTAGAGCTTTGCTATTTGGGGGCAGTGGCTGCAGTCGTGTGGGTAGCAGGCCCCAAGTGACAGCAGCATGGAGGAATTCGATTCCGAAGACTTCTCCACGTCGGACGAGGATGAGGACTACGTGCCGTCGGGTGGAGAGTACAGTGAAGATGATGTCAATGAATTAGTGAAGGAAGACGAAGTGGATGGTGAAGAGCAGGCTGAGAAAACCAAAGGGAAAAGAAGGAAGGCTCAGAGCATTCCAGCCAGAAAGAGAAAACAAAGTGGCCTCTTGTTAGAAGATGAAGACGACAAGGAAGAATCTGGAGGTAGTAGTAGTGGAGAAGATGAAGAGGAGCAAGGAGGCCTTGGGTCTGAGAATGCAAGGAAAAAGAAGGAAGATGAACTGTGGGCCAGCTTCCTTAATGATGTGGGACCAAAGTCAAAAGCAGCTCCAAGTTCACAAGTTAAGGCAGCAGAGGAGACTGAAGAGACTAGTTCATATAAACTGTTGGCGAAAGCAGATGAGCTGGAGAAACCTAAAGAATCAGAAAAAGTGAAAATTACCAAGGTGTTTGACTTCGCTGGTGAAGAAGTGAGGGTGACTAAGGAAGTAGATGCTGCGTCCAAGGAAGCCAAGTCTTTCCTCAAGCAAACTGAGAAGGAAAACCCTCAGGCTGTCGCCACTTCAGCAGCGCCACCACTCCCTGCGGGGTTGGGGATAAAAAGGTCAAGTGGCATGAGCAGCCTTTTGGGGAAAATTGGAGCAAAAAAACAGAAAATGAGCACGCTTGAGAAGTCTAAGCTGGATTGGGAGAGCTTCAAGGAGAAAGAAGGGATCGGTGAAGAACTGGCTCTCCATAACCGAGGGAAAGAAGGGTACATTGAACGGAAAGCTTTTCTGGATCGAGTGGACCACAGGCAGTTTGAAATTGAGTGAGATCTCAGGCTGAGCAAAATGAAACCTTGACATTCTGGGGAGAATTAGTAGCAACTTAATCCTATTGACAATGTGAGCTCTTCTGTGTGTCTGTGAACTATTTCCAGTGTTCATCATGTTTCCAGCAAGGCCCTTTTTTTCTACATTGCAGTTTGGTTTATGTATCTTAATCTCAGCTGGTTTCATCCATTTTCCTTTTTACAATTTGTCTTTAAATAAACAAATAGAAACCCTCTGTGAGGTCGGTGAAGGTGAAAAAAAAAAAAAAAAAAGAAAAAAAAAAGATGTGCCTACTGGTAAAATAGTGCCATGACTGCTACAGGATAGTCTTTCTGATTGGATCTGAGGAATGCTCCACAGAAGGGAATTTTATGACGTCTGTCAGCAGTCCACAACTGGGGGAGGTCACAGGTCTAAGGCAGAACTTTACTATTGCTATTCCATTAAGTGGTCAAGCTGTCTAATTGCTTTATACACATTTATAACCACAGACCTGAGCTGCTCTTGGCCTTGATTGCGGCAGCTTCTTTTTGCAGTGGACTGTAGTCAATGGAGAGATGCAAAACTAGTTAAAATGATGAGAATACAAGACTGAGTTCTCAGCCATAATTCAGACACCTATATTAGTACCACATGGCTATGGGAACACCTTGGAAGAGGAAAGAAGAAAGAGCCCAAGGAGAGGAAGGAGTGCTGTGCTGTCCTCTGGAACTCACAGCAGCTCTGGTTCTGTGTACAAGACCTACAGAAGACATCTGTAGAAGCCCGAACCAGCCATCATCCCAGCACAGATGGCATAAATGATCTCCAGGCCCATCCTTTACTGAGGAGAGAAGCTGATAGCTGCTGGGAGAGGAAGAATCATTCTGTTCTGAGGATGTGGCCATTGTAGGTTTCTCTGCTCCTGTGGATGATGCCACACCCATCACATATGGGCTGCACTAACTTGATTTAGTGATTAACAAAAACAAACAAACAAAAAAAGAAAACAAGACATGAAGCTAAGAGAGGGGCAGGTTGGGGGCAAATGGGGGAACTTGGAGGGTGAAAATGGGGGCAGGTAAGATTGTATTTCACTGTATATATAAAATTCTCAAAGAAAACTCTTTTGTGTGTGTGTGTGTGTGTGTGTGTGTGTGTGTGTGTGTGTGTGTGTGTTAGCTAATTACTCCTAGGCATGGGGTCTGACCTGGAGGGTCCTTGATACACACCCAAACAGTTTAGCATATTTCTCCTAATCCTTGATACTTTAAAATTAATATTACACTTAGCAGCTTAAAACCACAGCTTTTGGACAAAAATGTCTTCAGAATCCAATGTAAACCAAAATGTTCTTTTCAAATGTCTAAAAAAAATAGTTATCAACTGAATCAGGATTAGATTTCAAATACATCTTTTTCAACACACTTTCAAGTATGTTTTCCCTGGTCAGAATAAGGGAAAGAGTAAGCCTTCTTCACTGGCTTGTGAAAATTTAAAATGTTAGCAGTTACCAGGCAAATGGACTGATTCATCCTCAAAAGCTGAAAGAAGAATGTGTGTGTATGTGTGTGTATACACACCAGCTACTCCTCTTGGTTCTACACCCAAAGAACTACATTAGCATGCCACAGAAGTACTTGCACATCCGTGTGTACTTCTGTACTATTCATAATGGCCAGGAAATGGAACCAACCTTGATGTCTAGCAACAGCTGAATATATAAAGAAAATTTATGCAGGCATAAAAAAAAAGAAAATCACATTTGCACAAAAATGAAACTGGAAATCATGTAAAATAAAATAAGCTAAACTCAGAAACACTAACTTTCTCAGACACTAGATTTAAAACAAGATTTTCAATTATATATGAGTGTACGTGTGTGCATGCGTGTGTGTTTATGTTTTCATACAGAGATGCTATCTTTTTTACCTCTTTAGAGCCTTCCACTTAAAGATCTAACAACCAAACATGCTAACTTCTCATGTATTCTAAAAGCCTGACAATACTTAAGTATACAGGATGGTCAGTTCTTTGACATTAGTCTGTAAGGATATTCAATTTATTCATCTATTTGGGAATTTATACCTTATGCTGGCCTGGAACTCACAATCCTACTTCCACCTTCTGAGTGCTAATGTCTCATGACATTTCTTAGGAGATTCCTAAAGTGGCTACTTCAGTTACAAAAAAAAAAGACAGTCCTTTTATCAGGAGGTGGGGGAGAAAAATGAGAAGTTAGTGCTTAAATGGTAATAAGATTTAGTTGGGGAAGATGAAAAGGTACGGACACAGTTGTTGGTGCTGGCTATAATATCAAGTTATTAAAATGTCGCTGAACTATATACTTAAAAATGAATTAACATGGCAAATTTTTGGCCATGTATACTTTACTACAATAAAATAAAAGCTCAAAAAAAGGTATTAGTACTTAATTATTCAATATTCTAAGACTTATCACTGAACTCTAATAGTGAATGTTTCTGAGGACATCATCTTTTTCCTCCAACTCAGTAATGTTCCATACATTCAAAAAACTAAACTTCTAAGTAACAGACCAAAAGCTGCCTCCATGTGAGCTGGTTACAGAGAAGTATCAGAACAAGAAAAAAAAAAAAAAAAAGCCAACCCTATCCAAACAGAACGAAGACCGGCCTATGGAAACTGAGAACACAGATAGGACAGCTAAGCAGTGCAGAGAAGCAGAAGGTAACTCAGTGGGAAGAAGTAAGCCAAACCAACAGCTCTCTGGTAAACAAGGGGACACAGCTTCATCAAAAGGTAAGTGAGGGAGTCCTAGTGAGCATGAACAAGCAGTCTTACCCACAGATAAGATCGCTTCATAAATGGTTCAAAGTTTTGTTAACTTCTTTTGTGACTTGTCCAGCAGAATGGGTGAGCAATGGAGAGTGTAGCACGAATCTTAAAGGTCTTATTAATAAAAACACACCTGGAGCCAGGTATTGGGGTGAATGCTGGAAGATCAGAGAAGCAGAACAAGCCACAGCCACCTCGCCAATTCCTCAGCTGATCCTGTTTCCTCAGAATGGAAGCCTCTGAGTCCTCATCCGGAATGAATCTCAGCTGAACTGCTACTAAAAGCCTTAAAGCTTAACCAGGCTCTAGTTTCTGGTCTTCACACCTTATATACCTTTCTGCTTCCTGCCATCATTTCCTGGGATTAAAGGCATGTGTCACCATGCCTGGCTGTTTTCAGTGTGGCTTTGAACTCACAGAGATCCAGATGAATCTCTGCCTCCAGAATGCTAGGATTAAAGGTGTGTGTGTGTGTGTGTGTGTGTGTGTGCCACCATTTTCTGGCCTCTATATCTAGTGGCTGTTCTGTTCTCTGACCCCAGAAAAGTTTATTAAGGCGCACAATATATTGGGGAACACAGTGTCACCACATTTCCCTTTCTTGTCTAAAATTTTAAAAAGCTTATAACTAATACAAGAAAAACTATATTCAATAAGTATATACAATATATACAGTCAAGAATTACATTAACGATGTCTAGTCCATTAACATTTGACAGATTCAGAAAAAAAATTTTTCATTACTTATCCTATTTAAAACAAGTTCCTTTTTAAAAGTAGATTCAATAATCTCCCTTTTTATCTTATCATATCCATATTCTCTCTTTTTTTGAGTAGATCTAAAAATCTACCTTTTATCTTATCATTTCTATATCTTCTCTTTTTTCTTTTTGGAGTAGATTCAATAATTTACCCTTTGATCCTATTATTTCTATATCTTTTTTCAATGATCTACCTCAGGAGAGCACTCCTGCTACAGTGGCATCTTGACAGGCACTAGTCTTAGTTATATTTCCGTTGTTGTGATAAAACACCGTGACTAAGACAACTTATAGAAGAAAGCATTTGTCTGGGCTTACAGTTTCAGAGGGTTAGAGCCCATGACAGTAGCAGGAACAGCTGAGAACTCACATCTTGGTCTACAAGTAGGAGGCAGGGAGGAAACACACTGGGAATGGCAACAAGTCTTTTGAAACCTCAAAGCCCAAGCCCCAAGAGTGGAGATGACACACTTCATAAACAAGTCCACACCTCCTAATCCTTCCTGAACAGTTCCACCAACAAAGGACCAAATATTCAAACATGAAAATATAGAGGTCACTATCATTCAAGCTACCACTGTACCTATTTGTTTAAATTAAGATATTCTCGGGCCTAAGAACCAGGAACCTAAATTCAATTTGCTGCTGAAATAGATGCTGGGAGAATTTTATGGAGAATAAGAGGCTCACACACTGTTAAACCAAATAAATAAACAAACAAGTAAATTAATAAATACACTGGAGACATCAGGTGGTTTAGCCCAGGTAGTAAATAGTACAGGGAGAAGGAAACCCACTCTTGGTAGTTTCATTAACTGAGAAAAACAGATAGTTGAGTCTGAGGTCAGCAAGTGTGTGAAACTCTGAAGCGATGAGATTTACTGCAGTTGATTCCAAGAGCTCTGAAGATCCAGCAAACTGATGCTATCCAGTCATATCCCTCTAACAGAATGGTTAATGTTTAAGCGTTTTGAAAGGTATCAGCCTACACAATCTCAGTGCCAAAACTGCCTTCTCTCTGTACTCCAAAAATATTTGATAGATTCCTCCCAGGTAGAATATTAGACACTCTGCTGGAGGGTGGGCAAATCTATCTAACACGTTGACTGCAAATCTAAGTACAGGCGGCAGAGGCCCCTGGCGCCCAGCACAGGAAAGCTAATACAGACAGCTCTAGGAGACATCCTAACCTTGCTCAGGACAAGCTCAGCACAGCCCCAGTCCCAGGAAGTCCAGGTGGCCCTCCACCCACATCCAGAGCTGACAGTCTCCAATATCTGACCACCAGAAAGCCATTCCAAGCCAACCTTATTTTCTCTTTTCTTCTTTGCTCCATGTTTCCCTTCCTCTTTGTACTATTCATTAGCAATTACTTTCACTTTGTTTCTATTTTTACTCTCCTCAACATACTTACCTAATTTTATTTATATATTTTTTCAGAGACAATTTTTTGCCTCATGTTTCCCCTTTGTATTTTAGTACTATTTTGACTTTACCTTTTTTTTTTTTTTTTTTAAGAAAAGCCTCTGCCGGGCGGTGGTGGCGCACGCCTTTAATCCCAGCACTCGGGAGGCAGAGCCAGGTGGATCTCTGTGAGTTCAAGGCCAGCCTGGGCTACCAAGTGAGTCCCAGGAAAGGCGCAAAGCTACACAGAGAAACCCTGTCTCGAAAAAAAA